CGGTTACAACTGTAGGTAACCCGGAGCAGTGGAAGGGAGAAAAAGAGAGAAACGCCATTTCTGGGGAGAAAGTCCTGGGCTGGGAAGTTGGGGTGAGTTGAAGGACTTGTCACTCATTTCCCAAACTTCGGGTACTGGGATAGTAACGCCGGACCCTTAGACTAGTTGGGAAGGTTTAAGAGACCCCCAGAAAGCTCCTACCATTATACCTGACACCCAGTTAGCACTCCGTCAATGCAAGATGGTATTGTCTATTGTTACCATTACTGGGCATCCCAGTGCCTCTGGAAAATAGCATCTTCAAATAGAAATGGACACCATTCCCCAATAAAACCAGCCTTTTTCCCAGTTTTCCCTTGTCTGTCAACCGTCAAAAACCTGCTTCACCATCAGGAAATCAGTTTCCCTCCTGCCCGAGGTTCTAAGCCAGCCGTGGGCAAACTACGGCCCGTGGGCCGGATCCGGCCCGTTTGAAATGAATAAAACTAAAACAAAAAAAAGACCGTACCCTTTTATGTAATGATGTTTACTTTGAATTTATATTAGTTCACACAAACACTCCATCCATGCTTTTGTTCCGGCCCTCCGGTCCAGTTTAAGAACCCATTGTGGCCCTTGAGTCAAAAAGTTTGCCCACCCCTGAAGCAGTCACCTGTGGGTTCGTGTCCTCTGTCCAACCCTGAGCCATGCTCATGTCACTACCCTGGTCAGATCTCCTGAGGAACTGTTCTGTGGACCCCCCAGCATCAGATGAACCCTGGAATCTCTTACAGAACTTTATAGAACCTCCCTCGGGGTTCACCCACCCAGAAACCCGCAGCCCTGGCAAGGCGAATTTCCCTCAACCCCCCCGCCCCCCACTTTAAACAGAAACCCTCAAAACCTGGCATGCATACTTTCCTTTATATAAGTGCATTAGGCGGTATTCTTGAGCCCGGTTGCACTTTGGCTAATTAAATCTTAGAACATGCTGCTTAGGATTATTAACAGCCATTGCCAGGGTAAGAATATGTCCATTAAAATAAGTCTAACTTTCAGTTTTGTAGCGTTTTAATTACATGGACCCTTTGGTGTGTTTATAACGATAAAGAACATAACTAGGATCTTGCCCTGCCAGGGCTGGCGTCTCTGTAGGATCCTGGGTCCGTCTGCATGGTGCCCTCCAGGTTGTCTCAACCCTCCCTAAGGGGATGCTCTTCTGTCCACTGACCCCAGACCTAGTGTCCCTGGTTGGATTGAAGTTTACTGCAGGGTGGGAGTGAGATCAATACCAGTGTGGGTTGCAGCAAGAGACTGCCCCATAGGTCGCCTGGGTGACCAGTCCCGCCCACATGTCCTCCTAATTCACACGGGTTTTCTCCCATTTGGAGATCGTACCAGAGGATGTTTCCCGTTTCCTGGTAGATCTCAGCTTGTGATCTTGTTCATCTTTATGTAGAAATACCAGAACGGGTGATAGGTGACTTACTTCCCCCACCAAAACCACGTCCATTCCCAGCCTCCCCTGTACTGTCAAAGGTACCCTAATTCATTGCTTTTACCAAACTCACAATCCAGAATCGCCTGAGCCTTGGTAGTGTGGACAGAAGTTCCCTGGAGAAGAGAAATGGGCTTTACAGAGGCCCCCGTGCCCGCCCAGCATTGCAGTCCTCCTAACAATTCGGTGAAGTGAGTGTTCTAAGCTCCCATTTTGCAGGTGAGAAAACTAAGGCTCGCAGGGATACAGTGACTTGCCTGAGGCCACACAGCTTATTCACAGTGGAACTGGTACTAAAGGGCAGGCAGTGGGGCTCACCCAGCCGTGCCCCTGCCATTATACCATCCGGACCCTGGACTTGAGCAGTTATGGCTGCTTCTGCTCCTAGTGGCGGCGAAGGTCGGAGGTAGCATTTAAACCCAGGCCTGGCTAACTTGGCAGCCATGCACATTCATCAAACATTTTTTGAGTAATGACTTGTTACCACAGTAAAAATGACATCATCCCTGCCTCAAGGAGTTCCAGCCCAGAGCCAGAGAGAGAGACATGGGCAATTAAACAAGGTGTGGCAGCCTGCTGTGCAGAAGGCAGGCAGACAGCTGGGTCTGGAGCCCGCACCCAGCCTGGGGCAGTGGCGGGGGGGGGGGGGGCC